CCCCCCCCCAAAAAAAAATATATAATGGTACTCCCTTCATACATTAAAAAAGAATAACTTAAATTATTTTAGCTCTACTACCAACTATCAAAATATTGTGATTATAAAAGAGTTATTTTTAAGACCATGAATTAGAGGTGGGCGCGAGCCCTGAAATTATTTGAGTGTGAATAAATTTTAAATTATTGGGCGTGACGGGCCTTCCCAAAATTTTTCCCGGGCGTGAACATGAATTTCCCGTGAATCACGGAAATTTTAATTTTTTTTATATATTTTCTAATTTAATTTAGTTCTTTTTTAAAAAAGAAAAATTTTTGACAAAAAATATTACGGCATTTTATAAACAACATCTGGTGTCACGTTCTTTTTATGTTTAGGTATTTTGTCACGAGATTTTTTACTTAAACTTTAAAATTTATTCTCAAGCACTTAAGGTAGGCTTAATTCTAGATCCAAATTTCAAAAGTAAGTTTTTAATAGACGAAGAAAAGGAAGATATTTACAAAACAATCTTAAAAATGTGAAATGATATAAAATTAGATGATATGCATAAGTCAATGCCAACTGTTATTTAATACTTTCCTAATTCATTCTACATTCAAAAAAATCATATATTCTAAATGAAACATATTTTATTTTTACCGATGAAAGCTATGTGAATTTAAAAGATTCATACCATATAACAAATAACAATTGCAAAATTTTGAAGTTTTGGAAGCAGGAAAATTTATTTCCTTTTTTGAGAAAATTAGAGAGCAAAATTTTGTCCCTGGCAAATTCGACTTCTAGTGAAAGGTTATTTTCTGGAGCCAATCACCTATTAAAGGAAAGGCGTACACACTTGAAATAAAAAAAAATAGACATTCTTAAGCTTAACAGCTGCACACATTCCAAACAATCTCGAACCATCAAATTTATCTCAAGTAGATGGTTTCAGACCTGATGGTATGACAACCATACCTTGGGCCCTCGGCAAATCACTCATATGGGACTACACGTGTGTCTCATCATTCCCTTCAAACATAAATTTCAATTTAATAACACAGGCTGAAATTAAAAAGATAAACAAATACAAAAATTTTAAAAACTTTTTATTCACTCCAGTAGTGACTTCTACTAACGGGCATTTTTTGCCTTCAACATTTTTGTTTTTAAAAAATCTTGCTAATAAAATACGACTTTTCACAAATGAACCAAGAGAATTCCTTTTTATTCGACAAAAAATTTAAATAGAAATTTTTAGACACAATTATGGTTCCTTTTTGGGGACTCAATTATAGAATTTTATTTTTAATTATATAATTATAAATTTATAAATTATATTAATTAGGTTTTATGTAAATTTAATAAGATAATATGCGTAATAAAGATATAACATTTTTAAAAAAAAAGTAAAAATTTGGTAAATTTTTTTTTTGTTATTATGGATTATGGAATTAAAGAAATAAATAGAATAAATTCAAAAAAGTGTAAAAAATTATAGCATTAAAGTTTTGAAAAATTTAAAAACACCGTGAATTTTCGGGCGTGACGGGCGTGAATCAAAATATTGCCTTTCGTGAGCGGGCGGGTCGGGTCTAAAATTTTTTAGTGATAAGCGTGAATGTGCGTGAATATTTTTTATTGACACCGTGAGCGAGCGGGCCGTGAATAAAAAATTAGGCCCGCGCCCACCTCTACCATGAATTCAATTAAAAATCCCTCATTTACAATAATGTATAACATAGGCGTATCCAGAATTTTCCTAAGGGGGGGGGGGGAATTAAAAAATTAATAGGGGCTTTGCCTTTAGGCCCCATTTTGGGTAGCCTTTCGGCCCGCTTTTGCCTAGGCCTTCGGCCGAGTTACCTTAGTATATAGTCATAAAATATTTTTACAAGATGGGAGGTTAATTTTAATAGAAAAAATAAGCCTGAAACAAATATGAAATATATTTTTATTAGTTTATATAAAATATAATAAATTACTTGTATATACATTAATATAAAAGCATGGTAATATATTATTCCAAACAGGTATAAGAAATTTATTTATATAAAGTAAGTAGACATATAGTTGATATTACTCTATAATTAGTTACTAAATACTAGGTAAAATTATACTTTTACAGACATATTTGACAGTTAGAGAATATATTACAGTTAATATTTTAACAAATTTTTCTAATCAATTATCTTGATAATAAATATTGCAACAATTTGCATTTAATTATTTAACGCTATCTATTTATTTTAATATTAAAAATTAATATTTATATTATTCATTCCACACAGTGGCGTAGCTAGGAATTTTCCTTAGAGGGGGTCCAACATATAAAATCCTGGGGGCTTCGCCCCCAGACCCCTTTAACGGGCCTTCGGCCCTTTTGCCCGGCCTTCGGCCGGGTTTATCTTAAAAATCATAACCACATCTTCGACAATATATATAAATATTTTTAAATGCATGAATAATGTTATTATAATTTAGTAGATAATGTTATTATGATTTAGTAGATAATGTTATTATAATTTAGTAGATAATGTTATTATAATTTAGTAGATAATGTTATTATAATTTAGTAGATAATGTTATTTTAAATTAGTAGGTAATGTTATTATAATTTAGTAGATTATTCTCAATGACTTTATAATAATACTACCCAGAATAAATTCAATAGTAATATAATATTCTTTCACAAACATTAAAACCAGAAAAATATAAATATTAATGGTATTTATTTGATACAAAGTCACTTTTAAGTCTTTAAAAAAAATTTGCTCTGGGAGGGGTCCAAACCCGAAAACCACCCCCGTAGCTACGCCACTGATTCCACAAGATATTTTATGATGTCCTTATCAATATTTTACAGTTTTCTGTAAAATATATAATTCGCTATATTGGTAAAAATTACTTGATTGTCATATGATAATTGATAGAATAGTTATACTGTAAATCTATGACATGTAATATTCCACTGTTTGTGTTGTGCTTTAATTTTTTTATTTAATTTATGATTTAATTTTATCAATAGTTTTATAATTATATTTTGCTTTTATTAATAAATAAATTAAAATTACTCACTTTATAAAAAATTATATTTGATATATTATATTATTTAGTAATTTTATGGATCTATTATTAATAATTATAATACATTTCACTTTTGTCTTAAGATCTTTGGCTTATATTCCATTTCTTAAAAAACATTTTAGGTTCACTTTTTATATATATAAATGCTTTTTTCCATGTATAAATTATGATGAATAGTTTTATAAAAAATATCAACTTTTACATTCTTTCTTTCAAATTATTGTTTAAGATATATGCATACATTTTTGAGGGTCAGAGAGTAGAGGGAGGACTTAGGGGGATAAGCTTAAAATGATATTCACAAAAAGTGATAAACTGAAGGGGGGACATTTCCCCTTGCCCCCCCCCGGCGACGCCTATTTTTCATTATTATAATATTATATGAATATGAGTTTGCTGAGAATGTCTAACCCTTTTAAATTAAGCAGAAAGTTTTATTTAAAAAATAGTGTCCATGATTATATGCGATATGGATTTGGTCGATTATAAGCAATATCATTGGATTATAATAAGTCTATAATAAAAGCATTATTTTTAATAGCAATATATTTTGCCCTATTTTATATAAAAATTTAATAGCTAACCCCTCAATAAATTTATCATACCTCCCTTAAAGGTGCCTACCCCCTATTCTCCTCAAAAAAAATCGATGCAGAGTGTTCCTACTCTCCCCCCTGATATAAGTGATGCATGCTGCACATTCATAGTTACGTAAGAAATAACTATGATAATATAAATAAGAAGGAGTGACATATAATATTCAGTATTATGTTACTATTTGAGAGAATAGAATTTGTTTAATAGAACGATGAACAAAAAAATTTCTTTATGTTTAAAAAAGATAGAGAATATAAATGTGTATTTTAAAAAGTATGGGAAAAAGTGATAGTTAATGCGATAGAAAAAAGTGATGCTCAAAAAAGTGCTATGGAGTTATTTTAATGTCCTGAAGCATATGCATTTGTACGTTCCTATTCTGTTCCCGTTCCGGCAAAAAAAAATTTCCATTTTCGTTTCGTTCCATGTGTCGGAATGTTGTTAAACGCGTTCTTGAACAAATGTCTAATTTATCTTCTATTTATTAAAATGAAATTTTTTTTTAAATTCAATCATTCATTGATCTTTTTATAATATATATTAATACTTATATTTAAGCATTTATTAAAAACACTTTCTGAAAATTAGCATTTATATATATGAGATATTAATATAAATTTCGGTGTGAACAATTTATTTGAAAACTAAATTACAACAAAATTATCTATTAAAATTTAACACTTTCATTATAATATGATCATAATTTTATAATAAAATATTTACAAAAATTAATAAGATAAATTTGATTGTAAGTAACAATTTAAAAAAAAAAAATTTATATTATTAAAAAAAATTTTCACCGTATCAATGACATTGTCATTGCCGTCTTTATTAATTATTATTCATTTATCTTTAAATTTAAAATATAACTATTCATGTTTTTTGGGAACTTGTAGTCCCACCTCCATTTTTATAAAATAATGTTTTATTTTATTTTTTATTTTATTTTATATTTGATATGTTAATTTTAATATAATTTTATTTGATAGTAGTAATAAAAGAAATATTTGATGTAAACAAAATAAAAATAAACAATAACAAAACATAATACAATAAATAGTGTATAATATAGGGGGGGGGGGGGTGGAAGCATGTATGTTAAAGGAACTAAATATGATAATGAAAAAAGGATAAATTTGATTTTTAAAAAATCTCGGAGGTTATGCGGGGGGAGAGAGTATGCTGTCAACTCCACTGTATGGCTCTTTTACTACAAAAATCTATAGTATATGTATTTGATTGTCCACTAATAAATTACGGTGGTATTGCACCTGCCATATTTTGTCATCCTTTTAATAGGCACATCATAGGTGTATTCTACGATAACGTAGATTTTAAAATAAATAAATAAAATGTGATATAAAAATTCCTAAGGATATACTAATATTATTCCAATGAATTATTAATTTTGATGGATTCTGAGGAAAATAAAGTCATTTCCAAGATTTTAAATAGCTACCAGAATCTCAAACACATAAATGGATTTAATATTGGCTCCGAGTTAGATGAAACAGTTAGCCAAAAATATACGGCTTTTGAGATAATTGCTAATTATAGTCAAAGCTCTAATATAAAGGCACTTGTTGACGTTACTTTTTATAAAAATGAAATGAAACAAATGATTAACACCTTAATTATTCATATTAAGTTTAAAATTATTTTTTATATCATACAGCTTTTTTTTAAATTAGAAATCATCATGAAAAGTTAATATTTGATAAAGAATATGGTATTTCAGAGACAAAATGCAATCTTTTGGAGAAAGAAAAAAATGACCTATTGCTTAGCCATAAATTTTATCAATCAGATATTTTAAAGGTATAACTCTTATTATTATTTATATCCATATTAATGTTGTTTATTATATGCTTTAAATATGTTTTGACTATTGTGGAAATTTTTAGTTTTATTCTTCATGCTTTTCAAATATATCAAATTTTATACCAAATTTATACATATGTTTGACTTTTGATAATTTAATTTATACGTTAAATTATTAAACTTGATAATTTAATATTGCATGATCTACACCTAAATTTTTGATATATTTATTTTTTAGATTCTATTCATTTTTTTTGTATTTTTATTATTGATGAATATGAGAAAATTTATTTAAATAATACTTGTTCCTAAAATTTGTTAAGAAATATACATTTGATTTTTCTTTAACATATTAAATAACTACAAATATGTTTAATAAATTGTTTAATTTAGCCAAAATATAAATATTTGATTAATCCAATATTTAATTGGAATTAATAATCTTTTAAGATAATAATATTGATAAATTAGTTGGTTTCTTTTTTCTACATACTATGCAATGAGAATTTTTTTTAAAATTTTTTTTCATGGCATTTTTATTATTTTTTTCTCAGAGCACATCACTTTTCTTGTTAAATTCAAAATTTAAAATCATATTTGCCTTATGAATCAATTATATTTTTTAAAAAATTGAAGGCAATGATTTGCAAATTAATCTTAAAAAAGCTTACTATTAAAATTTTAAGAAAATATTACTTTTTATTCCCCTTGTTATGATGACTTACTACCAGATAGGTTTGGCATGATTAAATCAATTTTTTTTAATAGATCATGATTAAATCAATTTTCTTTTTTAATTGTATTTTAAATAATTATTAAAAAGAATTTTAATATAATTAACATATCATCAGCTTCAATAAAAGAAATATATTAATAGTCAGCTATTATCACCTAAAAGTTTAAATCTTGTTAATTATTGGAAACATGATTTTTATCACATTGAAATAACTAGAACCATCTCCAAAAACGTCAATGTTTTAATAATAAAACATATTCTAGGATAAGGTATTATTAGTCACACTCATCTAGTGTTTTTAAAATCCTGATTTGAGACGGTTTTTAAAAATGGTCCAATTAAGATTTTAGCCCAAATAATATTATGTAAGCCTCTTCATTTGGCAAATAGATTTCCAAATTTTTTTGCCATCTATGAACAAAATCTCTTAGGCTTACATAATATTATTTTGGTTATAACCTTAATTGGGTTGTTTTTTAAAATCAACCCGAATCAGGTTTTTTAACAATAATACATTCATAAAATTATATAAAACTTTATAATAATTATTAGAATATTTTTCATTATTATTGAATTTTTCTAAAAAAAAGTTTTTTGTCCCCTGAAATTTTTTTTAAAAAACTTCATACTTGGCCTTAATAAGGAATACATTATACATTTTAATTAATTTTTGCATAAATCATTTTTTAATCCAGAAATTATTTTTTTTGAATAATAAACCAGAGTGTCGAACTGAACTTCGAAAATCACAAAGCCTATATATAATCCAAGCTAATTTTTTTAAAAAAATTATAAGAGTTAACCAAGCTTTTATAAACCTATGTATTGGTTTTTTATATGGAAAAGGTGATACGCTAGATCGGGGCTCATACTGGGCAATCAGTCTCCTGGCACGGAATGAAATTTTGAGAGAATCTTAGAGAAGAGAATCAGAGTTCTTTAAAAGTTACGCCCAGGAAGGGAACTGCAAATGTGATTTTTGTGGTAAGGCAAATGCAAGAAATGTATCAGGCCTAGAAAAAAGCGATTTATCACTCTATGTAGACTTGGAGAAGGCATTTGACAGGATCCTGTATGAAGTTACTAAATGGGCTTTGAGTGATCTAGTTATAGAGGAATGATTAGTTATGGCGTACGAGTATCCGAAAGGTCGTTAGGACACATGGTGGTGATAGTGAGAGTTATAAAGGTGGGGCTACATCAAGGATCAGTTTAATATTTATCATAGTTATAAAGGAGGTGACGAGAGGGGTACAGGAAAGACTACTTTGAGAATTTCTATATGCTGTTGATCTTAATGAAACAGATTTAAATGATAAAAAAATCATATGGAATACGGTCATGGTCGCAAAAAATTTATACGGGATCGAAGGAGGGACTAAGGTGATGATTGAAGGCAAAGGATCAGGATAAAGGAAGAAACCGGCAATTTGCTATATGGTGTGTGGGAAAGGTGTTGCTATAAATTCAATTCAATGCATCAGCTGTCAGAAATGGGTGCATAAAATATGTAGTGGTGAGAACTGACGTTTGATGAAAGCAAATGAGACTTATATCTGTAAACGTGTTTATGATAATGATGACGCAGAAAAGGGTGCTTAATATCGAAATATAGCTACTCTGGAAAAGTGGGAAAGTTTTGTTATTTGGATGACTCGTTGAATGCAGGTTGAGGTGTTGATTCTGCTGTTGCAAGGGTAAAATATGTATGAAACATAGAAGCTGAAGGGAAAATTTATGTAAGCTGTGTGAGAAGCTTTATAGTCTACGGCGGCGAAATGTGGTTAATGAAAGCGACTCATGAAACTAAATTGGAAAGAACTGAGATGAGACTGGTCACATGAATGTGGGGGTATTTATGAGAAAGAGAAAACAAGCAACGAATTGCGAGAAAGAATTGGTATAGAAACCATTGGAGTGGTGATAAGAAGATATAGACCGAGGTGGTTTGGAATTGCATGTTGAACGAAAGACGCAAGTTGAGTAAGTAAGAGATGCACCTTATTGGAAGTAATAATAAAGGCCTGGTCAATGAGGGCGTTGATGAAAGTTATCGAGCGACATGGAAACAATGGGCTTGCAAATAGCTATGCTCAGGACCCTAAAACTTGATAATTATTAATCCTTATTGCAAATGAAAGTAAATAACAAAAGTCAAATATTACACTACAAAACAAGAGCGATGAATAGATTAGATACCATAACTGATTAATGTAAACATGATATTGATATATTTTAATTATACCCATGATTTTATACACAAAAAAAATTGAGAATAAAATTCTTAGTTAATTTTAAACTTTGTTTATTTCTTTATATTTTATTAATATTTTTAAGCTATATATGGGTTCCTCAATAATAATTGCAACCTTTATAAAATGTAATTTTTAAACCGAACCTAAGTCATTACTAAAAAAAATCTTGGAACCTGAACCAAACTGAATCTATATTATCAAAAGACTTAAAATAGTTTATAAATAAAAATATTAATTTTAAATAACCAAATATTGTTAACACTAAAATTTAGTCATGAATTATATATTTTTATTAAAAATTATATAAATAAGAAAATATATAATCGTTAATCCACATATAAACCGATGTTTAATGTAATAAAATTACTGGATTTTTGATTAAAAAATTTGTTTCAGAAGTTATTTTCCTCCAGGTATATTCTCATTACATTATAAAATTTTATTTAAATCAAAAAATCCTGTTTACCAATAAGAAATTGATAAATGACTAAATTATAATTTATGTAATATTAAAGCTAATTTTTGTAGTATTTATATTTTTATAACAATTCACTTCAAGTGTATGGGTATGGAAAAAAAGCAAAATCTTCAATAATGTCATTGAAGGTACGGGGCTAAAAATTTCGTTGACTAAGCCCCCAAATAAACTCCGCCGTATTTACGGATTTGATTACTACACCATCCTTTTTTTATTTTTAAAAATTATAACAAATCAAGATGGAAGAAAGACTAAAACTCATGCAAAATACGGTTAACACACTCAAAAGCGAGCTGGAAATTAAGGATGAAAAACATAGGCATGAAATGTTCGATATTCAACAAAGGCATAATAGTAAGATCAAAGATGTAAGTTTGTCATATCTAATTTATATTTGTAGTAATATTTTATTTAGAATTAACTAAAAAATATATTATAATTTATTTATTGAAGGGAAGGGGGGAGGGATTGGCTCTAATTAGTTTTAATTATGGAATATATTAATAGTTTTAATATAAATAGGAGACTATCGAGATCCCAGAATGTTTTATATACTGTTACTGCAAAAATATCAAAGAATCAGGCTTTAAAACTATTTTCGCCTATTTTTTTCCCCTATTCCTCTTCAGGAAAAGTTAATTTTTGTAATCGATTTATTTAGTGTTGTTTTTTCTCTGAAATAGAGCTAACTAAAGCTTTTATCTTAATTTTCATTTACTATAAGAAACCCTTCTTTTTGCTTATTATAAACTTCAAGGCGATTTCCAATTTTTTTTGATGCCTGGACTTTACTTTGCTTGATAAAATTTTTTGGTCAATAGTGAAACTTAACCATGGTCATTTGACCTTTCCACCTGGTTACATTATATATGAAATATTTTATTTTAATGTAAAGTGGAAGGGCGGGAGGTGCTGAATATTATAAAAATACGATTTTGGTCTTGACTTAAATTTAACGAATAAATGAGTATAATAGCCATATATCAATCGATACGTATTGGCCCGACGATAGTTATAATTTTTATAGATAGTAGATACCGCAACCGACTATTTAAAAATTCTATTTACTATTAAAAAAAACCCAAAATTATATTATATTAAGCTTTTGATTTTTATTTAATAATTCTTTATATTAATTCTTTTACTTCTATCATTCAGAAATACATTTAAGGAATTTAGTTCTTAATAACAATAAAATGTATGTAAGTGGCAGAAACACTTACTCAAGCCAATATAATAAATAAATACAAATTATTGAATAACTTTATTTTTAATTGCCACAGCCACCAGTAGACATTTTTCCCTTAACACTTTCCTTTTTTAAAAAGCTTTGGCCCATAAAATACGAATCTACACATATGAATGCCTAAGAATTCCTTTTCCTAAGACAGAAAATAGAAATATTTTGATCCTGCCCTTTTTTTAGGGACTCAATTATGTTTTCCATAATTGCACCCCCCTCTCCCATATAATTTTGTATTTTATATCGTTTTTTAAATAGTAGTATAGTCTTTAAATTAAAATTATGTAATAAAATGGTTTATAGCATAATGTAGACGTTCTCAAATACAAATAGAATAACTGGATTATTCTTATTAATTGCGTTATTCATACGAATCAAATAATTCATTATTTATATTCTTAAAAATCATAAAATCATGATTAATTTAATTTCTTCTTTCTAAATTCACAAAAAAAATGAATTATTAAGTTTTGTATAAATTATTCTCTAGATTAAAAGATAAACAAAATTTATTAATATGAAAAATATAGAAGCAAAACAATGTATTTAAAATCAATATGCTGATATAGATAAAATGAACTTAAAAATTACCTATATTATAGAATAAATCTGATTTAAAACATTCTCCAAATTGGAGGTTAATCCATCCACGCCTGTTTACTGGCATGCTATAAGATTTTAAACATCGTGCCAGTTGCCAAAAAATATTTATAAAACAATGGGCTAATGTCAAATATTTAGGGTGAAACGAGCAGGACAGACCTTCTATTTATTAAAATATCTATTTTTTATTTCATAATATTGCATATTTAAAAAGTTTAGGTAAATATATATTAAAATAAATATATAAAGAGCTAAACCAACCGATAAAATAATTTTTCAATATTGGACGGGCGGGTTAAACAAAATTTTTAGATAAATTGGCGGACCAGCGAATATATATTTATTAACAATGGAAAACTCAGATCCGCCCACTGCAGACCTCTACTAATTTTGTTCGCTAATATACAAAACCAGAAGATAACCCTTAACCCGGGTTCACCTTTTTCTTTAACACCCTAATACAAATTGAACCCCCAATTTTTGATTTACAATCGTGGTTAGAAATTTATAGTAAATTTTTAAAAAAATAGTGTAGAAGTTGACAATTCCGGATTTGTTTAAGGATTCCTTTGAGGGCAACATTTTTCTGAACCCGGGTTCAGGTTTCACACTCTATTATGCCTATTTAGGTTATCAGTTTTAAATATAATTTTTATTTATCAAAATTATTAATTTATCCATATTCGTTCAAATCGAATAATTTTCTGGAAATTTAAAATTCAACAAATTATTTCTTAAATTAAAAATATAAAAGGTTATTTTTTTTATTGATATAAGTCCCACATGACTCGGTCATGATTTGTTTATTATGAATATTTAGCATTTGATATTAATTTAATAAACAAATAAAATGACTCGAGACCAATATAGTAATGTTTAACAATACCTACAATGTAACTATTATATTTGGGTAACGGTAACTTGTTACATTTCAAGTAAGGTAACTATGTTATGTAACTAGTTAGGATTTGTAAAAGGTATTTTTTTTAATGTGAACTTTTTACTTTTGAAGAAAGTGGGATTCGAAGTCAAGCCCGTAGCATTTAATTTTCAAAATATATAAGTATCGGGGGGGGGGGGTTGGATATAAGCGGAAATTTGTATCAATGTATCTCAATTTTTATATAAAAATATTTATATTTATTGGATAATACCCAAGACTCAAACTTCGCTTGATAAGGCTATTAATGATAAAAACGACATGGTGCTAAAATATGCTAAAAGCGAAAAAGAAGTTTTAGAGTGGAAGAACAAATACGACAAACTACAAGATTTGCACTTACGGGAAACCAAGCTTAGGGAACAAATTAATGGTAAACTCAAAAACTCCATAGTTGAACTCAATAAAAGTGTCATTGCTTTTGAACAGAAAGTTATATATACTTTTTAATTATTACGTGATATAATATCAGATTCCTAATTTTTTAAAAAAATCATCCTTTTCCAAAATCATTTTAAACGCTACTAATACATCATTTAAAATTTAAACTATCAAAAATGTCATTTATTTTACAAAAAAAAGTTTTGAAAATGATTTGAACATCTTAGCAAAATATTGAAAACGTATATTTTTTTCTTATCTCGTAGAATAAAGAGTATTCGGCTTTAAAAAAGGAGCTAATTACCCAAAAAGAACAGACACAAAGTCAAGCTTTAACTTCGAAATGGCTACAAAATAAGTTAGACGCAGAAATTAATAATCATAAAGTACTCATTGATTTAAATATATTATTTAATCATATGTTTAGAAGTCTACGGCTGTTGTTAAAAAGTTACGTTCAGCCGTCAGAGTTTGTAGTCGTTAGTCGACTAATCAAGTCGTGAATTCAAGTCCACTCTAGTCGTGAACTTGAGTCGACTGGAGAACAAAATTTCAAATCGTATATATTCTTACATTTGTTCTGCTCTTTTTCAATATTCTATATTTTTACTTGAGATTACCAATATTGTGGTGTAAAAATATTTTGATTCTTACCTAAAAAAACAATTTTATCATAAAAATATTTAAATACCTGTGAGGGTATTAAATATTTTTCGCCTCAAATATATATAATACATTACATAATAAAATTTGAATTTCTAAAAATGTCTCTTTTTAAAAAAAATCGGCCGAATTGACAAGCCCCTTGCGCCGACTAGCCCTGATCTTCCATACTTCTATATTTTTTGTTCTATCTTAAATTTTGATGTTAATTATCAATTTTCTTATTTTGCTTATAACCTTTTATTTATACTATAATTAATTTCTTACAAAAAAATCAGCAAATTACACAATTTACTTTATTTTGTTTTCTAATTAACTAATAATAAGTGTATAATATAATAATATAAATAAAATAAGAAAAAATATATTATTATTATTACCATATATCCAAATCCTAGTTTTTTAAGGATAACCAATGCTTTAAAGTTGATGGTGCCATCCTATTTCTTTTTTTTGTCAAAAAATCTACTGACTTCCTGAGGGCTCTCTCACACGGAACGCTTGAAGTTTGTTGAGCAAGAAAATCCTTTGCAATCAGCAACAAGGTAGGATAAATTACGTTATTTTTTGCCTACCAATCTAATGTATAAAATTATAAAATATAATAAATCATACTATTTATGCCATCAAAAATGCAGCCAATAAAATGTTAAAAAATGTACGGCATATAAAAGCTATGTAAGCATATTTAGTAATTATATCACAATTATACTTGATCCTAATAAATATATGTCTAGCCTAATAGTTAAGGAATATATGGAAAAATTTTAATTATTGTAGAAAGATTTTGGATTTCCATAGCATAAATCGAATTTTCTCTTAATGATTTGGATACACGGGCGTATTTTGTTAGTATGCAGCACGAATTGAGAAAATAATTTATAATATTTTGTATTATTTTTAGGGAGGCTTTTAAATTTCCAGACTTTATGAGAGGAGATCCAAGATTATCTCAATGAACATTTAGCATCACCTTCTACTAATACATCAGAATGGTGGGCATTATCTATCATACCTTGTCAATGATTTCAAAGGATTTTCTTGCTCAACAAACTTCAAGCGTAAGGCAGTAGATTTTTTGACGAAAAGAAATAAGATGACACTATCAACTTTAAAGCATTGTTTATCATTAAATAACTGGGATGTGGATATATGGCAATAATTAAAGAATTATTATGTGATTGGTACATAATAATTTTGAGAATAATTGCAAGAAAAAAAAGCATTCCTTATGTCATTTTAATATTCCATTTTTAAAAAATAAGTTTTTATTTTATTTTTTGTTCCATTTTATAAAATACTAAATTTAATTTATATATAATTTAACGACTAGGAGGGATTTTTAGTGCCCTCTTATTCTTCATTCTTATCTGAATAATAAGATTTTGTCCGCTTTCTTTCAAAAAAAAACAGGCGACATGAGTTCTTTAAAGGACACATGTGCAAGCACTAGATTTTTGGCTTGTTATCTTTTAACATTACGCGTCAGAATGCCTTGGTATTTATTGGTTGTACGCCTCAAGAATAACCTCAAAAATAATCCAATACAGTAAACAATAATTTTTTATTAAATTGAAATATAATTTAAAAAAATGAACATCTGCCTAAACATCGACCTTTTTATATCCTATAATTAAAATAAATAATAAATAATTCTCTAAAATAAAAATAATAGCACTTATCCTGAGTCTTATAATTCAAAAAAAAAGCGTGCCGATGTTATAAAGCCATATTATTGCGCGTAATAAAAATATAATAAAGATTTTAAAAAAATATACAACAAAATACAAAAAAAAGACGCCAATTATAACAGGTATCAGTGATCTGCAAGTGTCAAAATTCTCCAGCTCAGCTCTGTGGGAATTTAGATGTTACCCTTTGTAAATATTTTTCCTGGCCCTGTTTCAATTTTTCACTAAGGTTGTCCAACATATTTTTAAATTTTCTTTTAATGTAAGGCCTAGACCAAAATATATGTTGTTGAACTAAAAAATAAACAACTATTTATAATGGAGAGTGAAAGTGATTAAATTAAAAACAGTATACTTTATTGATTATCAATAAAATATCATAAATCATCAAATACATATACAAAAAAAATTTTTGCCCGCCTGCCTAAAGAAAATTTTCATGGGCCGAGTATTGCAGACCACAGCTTGGTATTGCTTTAGTCTTGAATTTCGATTATTTCAAAATGATAATAATTAATATAAATGTGAAGAAAAAAAAGAAATTGAAATATGCCTTTTTATATTTATGAAATGAAATATACTATATGCTCGATAAATTAACTTAAAATTCCTTCTTCAAGTTTTGGTTGATCTCAGGCTTATAAAACCATCTTTAGAGTTAAGTGATTATTTATTTTTAACTATTTTTATAAAAATGAAAATAAGAAAAGATGAATGGGGGGGGGGGGGGTGATTTAATATTATTACTGTTTGATTTCCCGTTTTTTGAAGCAACATTAAAAAAGAAGTAAAATAGTTAATTAGATATTTTAACCAAAAAAACATTATAAACAGGGAATTATGTAATTAACCTCGCTATTTTATTCTTCAATCATAAAGACATCTTTCCAACTCGTTTAAATAATTTTGCTATAAACTACCCTTTAAATTCATTAGTTTTACCCTGCCATTTTTTCAAATTTTATTATCAATTTTTTTTCTTCTCTAAAAAACAGGAGACCAAAATACAATTAGAACTTACCATGAATAAATTCACCGAATTGAGGTCCGAACTTAATTCCATATCCTGTTATAATGGTTTAAAGAACGAGCAATGTCTAATTTTAAACCAGCAGCAAATACCTACTAGTCTCGCCTTGTCGAATAATAAACTTGAAAACGATGACGCGAATCGTCAGAGTAACAAACTAAATGAGGAGGGGGAGAGGAAATTGCAACTTAATGGAAATCCTGAATGGGTAACGAAATCAAACATTTGAGATAAATAAATTTCCCCCTTTTATCATTAAGTTTTATATATAATATACTAAAAATGTAGGATGTTCGGTCATATTAGTGCTGAAAAACTGAATATTTATAGTTCTTGGAGTATTTGGTTATCCAGGCCTTAAAAAGTATTTATTATCATAATGGACCAGATTTACGAAATAAAGACATTTTATTTAATTAAATATCATGCCCAATTCGAATCATCTAATTAACATTGCTCATTTTATCACATATTACAGGGTTTGATAAACGACGACGAGAATACTAAAGGCGATATGGAAGAAGTTGAAAAAGAAAATAGCAAAAGTTGTGAGCAGGTAACTAACTATATCTTTATAAAATAATTGCACAAAAAAATGAAGAAAAAGAAGAAAACAAATGAATAAAAAAATTTTTTTATTTTATATAAAGAAATATATTTTAAAAAATATACAAACCATATTTTTATTATTAATCTTATTTTTTTTTAAAAAAAGAATATTTGTAAGTCATTTTTAACACTACCTTTATTTTTTTAAATGATAGAAAAAAGACCTAATTTTGAAGATTGAATTGGATTTGATCAAAAACAAGCACAAAATAATACTAAACGAATTGGCCAACACCACATTCAAAGTTTTTAATGCAAAATATTTGTTATTATTTAAGTTTTTTTTGAAGAAGAATTGAAATATTAGACTAGGCCTGTTCATCTCTGAATGACAAAAAAATGGGGATTTTTTTTTATCAAATTAAATAAATAATAGTCTTTTTAATTTTATACAACGAAATATAAAAAATTAATAATCGTCATTTTGCCTATAAGTACAATTTTTTAAATCTTCAAACACCATAAACCAGCTCAATACTGTGGAACAAGATAACGAGGAGAACCTCAGGAGAATCGATTATTTGAAAGATGCCCTCGACGAGTCTCAAACTCTTATAAACTCTTACGAAATCAAATTTTCCGATTACGAATCGCGTCTAAAAGATTTTAAAAAGTATACTAATTTACTCAGTATCGCATAAATAATGCATTCGGTAAGATTCCCCATTTAAATATCCATCTCTCATATTAAAATGATAAATTTTATTTTCAAACTTACGTTTATTTAAAAAAAATTGATTTCAGAGATATCTCATTTCCTAGATAAAATCATTTATATGTCAAATTTGGTATATTCTTTCTTAAATCAACTTCATTTCAGTCTGACCTCGGACTTGGTTGCGCTCAACGCAGATATAGAATGTTTAAAGGAAAATAAAAAGGAATTTGGCTTAGAACTCACGAAGTCGCAAGAAAGGGAAAAACGTTTGTTAGAATTCACTGAAATTACATCGACAGAAGCTGCGAAACACTTGGCTGAAATATCTTTTTTGAGGGACAAGGTTATAATTTTTGTTAAATTTACCATACACAAATTTATATGAATTTGAGTAACTTCAATCCATTTCTCGGCGTTACAGTTCAGATTTGCTCATATTTTTTAAAATCTTAAACATTTTTAATTGCACAAAAATATTCATTTGCTGCAATATTAGATTAAGTATAATTTTTATACAACAGATTTTCATAACGTTGTTCGGTTTCTGTAAAGTATCTCTTATTTTGATATTGATACTAGTGTGTATCATATTCATTTTATTTATCTATATTAATTATATGTCATTTTATTAGTTTATTATTATTTTGTATAGTCAAACCTTTCTAATTTGAGCTCTCAAAAATTTGGGCAACTCCCTAATTTAATCAAAATTTTGAGTCCCAATCAAATTCCTATTAACTGCTATTAGAAAATGCCTTGATAAATTGGGCAACTGTCTACTTTGAAAAGTGTGCAGATTTTTGTTTTTTGTAGATTTGCTTGAGACATCTCTAAAGGGGGGGGGGGGTATTACAAAATTTATCATTTTAGAACATTCATATCAAATAACAAAATTAAAGAAAACAAATATAATTATCGTTAATTAAAAGAAATTAGGTTATTATTTCTGTTTTTATTTTTATTATATCATAGTTTACGATTGAAGTATAGTAAGTAATATAAATTCTTAATAAAATATAATAATGGAAATCATCATACTCAAAAAGAGTGTGCTAAAAGATTTAATATTACAAAAACTGTTCAGAATATTCTTATCTAAAGAAGACATTATCAAACGCCATGCAAATATTTTTTTTGTTTTGTATACTATCATTTTATAACAATTTTATATATTTATATTTTGTATAAATTTATTGCATACATAAATTATCTCATCACTTTGATGAATTAATAAAAAAATTATTCGAAAATGGTTGAAACATTATCTCACTTTTTGCTAAACTAATAATATAACAGATGATAAAAAAAATTTTTTTTAAAGTTAAAAGTTTTGATAAATTGGGCAAAAATCTTGGTCTCAACAATGCTCAAATTAGAAAGGTTTGACTGTATACATTATAAAACCAATAAAAATTTTCAGAATGAGCTTGAATTAAAAGACTACTAGATAGGGAATGTATAAATTCTATTCCTCCTAAGATATACATTTTATGGTATGTTTGAAAAATAAATATAATAATATTATTAAAAATAGGCTGACAAAATATCCACCGAAAACGAAAAATTGTCTCTCATCAATGAAAATATAGATCGGGAGATTAAAAAAATTGTTAGTATTTTTATTTAAATTTCTAATTATTTTTTTTGTTTTTATATAAATTTTTTGAATTTTATATTCATCGTAAATCCTAAAAAATTTTCTTGGTATTCTAAGATTGTTTCATAAAAGCGACTAACCTTTTTTATGATTCATTAATCAATTGAATTCTAAGTCTTTAATCATCCATCACTATATAATATGACCAAAAATAATGTCGCCTTTGAATGATCAATAATATTTTTATGTATAAAAAATGACATTTTTTCCCCCTCGCATTCTTAGATCGAAGAAAAGGCCAAATTGGTGTTGGAATTCAAAGAAACTTTGTTAACTAAGGAAAAACTTATCAACGAGAAGGACAAATTATGTGAAATACTTATTAACTGATAAATACAGATGAATACATATTATATCATAAAAATAAAATCCAGCAACTTATTTATTTTGAGTATTATTAGGTGGGATCAAATTTTTAAGTTAAATTAGACTTCATCTTTGCAGGGCAACCTAATAATAAATAGTATAAAAAATGGAAGAGGTGGGTGGCTTAAAATCAGACAAGTTATAATTACATATCATCGAAGGGCAATAAAAGGTATTTTAGTAATATCGATAATTAGACTAGATTTTGAACGAACATTGAATTTAATTGTCATTTTATGTTTTATCGTGTTACTATTCAGTCATAGAGGACAATAACATTATCGAAGATTTGCGGACCCAAGTTAAATCATATAAGAAGAAATACGAGGCCTGCAGTAAAGTATTAATATTGTTAACATTTTTATTTGAATTTTCCATTTATTATAAAAATTCTTATTTTTGCATACCATTACCTTAATCACATTTTATATAATAAAATCGCATTTCCAATATTTAATAAGATGATATAATACTAATTAACATTTTGTCTTGGAATTATAACCTGATTTTTATTTGGCATTTTTAATAAATTAATTATCCAAGAGTTTAATAAATAAACATTTATTATTGATAAATTTTAAAATACTTAGTTTTACCAGAGTTTGGAACATGGACGAAAAATGGTTGTCTGTTTTTAAATTTTACTTGGTTCCGGTTTCAGATTCTATTAAAGTATCGAAAAAACATTTAAACATTAAATAAACTCTAAGATGAATTACACAATAATTTTGTTAAAACCGGTTATAGGAATTGTTTAAATGGTTTCCGGTTCCTGAATTTATCGCTTTTCGGAGGGCTCCAGGTTCTAATTCCAATCTAAAACTCTGATTATTAAATTGATGAATATGATCATCTATCTGCTCTGAATAATTTTTCCCATTAAATATCTGATATCCATAGGATTTATCGCAACACCTCAAGCTTATCCATTATACTCCACATTTTGACTCTACTGAAACTATAAACTATTCATCAAAATTTCTAAGTTCGAAATCGATGAAATCAATCAATTCGATCAGTTCATTTTCTAATAGCAAAGAGGACGAGGACACCTCTTCCATAAAAAGTTGTTATTCGTGCAATATTCCGCCTGACAATGCTGTCATCAGAAGTAGCATACCCTGTGGCGAAACAATGTCTAATCTTAACGAGGTTTTGAAAGAGAAGCTATTTTTTATTCATTCATTGAAATTAAAGGCAAGCTAATTAGAGAAACTGCTACAACTTGGACTTACAATAAGAGAGTAATAAGGGGAATTGTTTTAAAACTCGAGAACGATTAAATTTTTATATTATATATTATGCATATCTCGAAACCTTTTTTTTTACATGTCCGTCATGATTATAAAATGTTGTCTTTATTTTTTAGGCTACTTCAAATGATCATTTAATTCACATACCCTTGGAAGATTCCTCAAATTCTTCTACCATCAACAATAACATGAAGCTTTTGATGGATAAAAGTATAAGACTTCAAAAGGCTTTAGTCAGGAAGAAGGAAAAAATTGAATTCTTGAACGATCACATCGTTAGATTGCAGGGAGAATTGCACAAAAAAGCAAAGTTTGTTGAAAAAATTAGAGCAAAATTATAGTATTTTAAAAAATTTTACTATATGATATGGTCTGAGGCCAAAATATATAAATTTAACGCTTAACATTAAAATAGAGAATAAAATAACAATTTTTGAGTTTAAGATATATTTCTTTTATTTATAAGAAAGTTTCGCCGGGCCTATACCTAAAAAAATTTACCACTGGGTTCAAGAAGACTCGGGCCAAGAAAAATTGATTTTACAAGTCTCTACAATATACTATATTTTATATAAATTATAGAATCATACAAACATTATTACTTAACGAGCACGCTGGAGCTCTTACGACAGAAGAAGTAGACGATAATAAGGTTAATTTCTTTATGATCAAAATAATTTTGTAATGAAAAAATCAAAGTTTATATTTACGATTAAGCAAAATCTCTATTTGTGGTTATTAAATATAAATATATCAATGACTAATTAAAATAACTATCTTATAATAGACCGTTTTTGCTGAATTTTTTATTAATCTTGATTGCCTAATGTTCTCTGAAAAATTGAAATGAAGGCATCGATGGCTCGGAAAAGCACCATAATGTCATCGATTTTTAACTCAACCAGAAACGATAAACAAATGACCCTTTCGTTGTCCCTCGAAATCAACGCCAAATTGCAAAACCTTCTCGAAGATTCTATACTAAAAATTATTATACTAAAAGTTAGTGATTTTTTTAATATAATATCGTTATATTGAAATTATATTTTATATAAATTTTATAGTCTGCAGGCTTGCGCCTAAATTGCTTCCGTTCTTAAAGGAAGATTTTCAGAGGGCAACTTGGCCTTTATAGCTTTCGTATTCAGCGCTTTTATTTTGAAAATTTAATATAAGACAAATGAAAGTTTAAAACAATGTAATAACACAATCTTATAGAATAAAGTAATGTAAAACTATCACAAAGACGAACGGCAATGAATTTTCTATAGTAATATGGCAAGCTTATATAGTTTTATACTAAGCATAGGATGATTAGTTTTGATTATAATAGTCATGGCGAAGTTTTTAAAAAATGTGGCTCTCGTCCAGAAAATTCGAGTTTGTGAAATTAGAATAGATGTGAATTAGTTGTATGTCCGATGCACCACTTTCATTGGAAATGGTAAGTGAACTGTCCACCAAGTCGGATACCTTTGCTTCCCAAACAATAATGATCCAGACGGCTCATCAGCCGGATTTTTATCAGTGTATATTTTGAGAGATAGTAAAATTATTAAGTCCAATTTTTATCATTATTTGGGGCGCCACTATTTCGATCTGCCTACAGACGTAATATGTAATAGATCAATCAGTAAAGATAGACGGTGGGTTGTCTTCTCTGGAGATGGTTAGAATAGCTCCAATACTAATGGCAAAGTAATTAGGTCACCACTATTTCGATCTCCCTTTTAAAAACCTAATATGTAGTGGGTGAATCAGTAAAGATAAACAATGGGTTGCCTTCCCTGGAGTTAATTATAATAGCTCCGAAACCAACGGCAAGCATTTTCTTAGCATTGATATATTGTAAAGCATGTTCGGGCACCTAAAAGAAGAAGGCAGCTTCCCTGTATGAATACATGCGAGGTTATCATAAACTAGTAGTGTTGTTAAACGGCTCGATTTGAGCCGATTTTTAAAAACGGCTAACTCAATTGTATATCCAGAAAAATATTAGGCAATCTTTAAGATTAGTTGGCACAAGTGTTTGAACATCTATTGGGCGAAATCTCATGGCTTAGATAATATTTTTCTGGCTAACATAGTGAGTTAGCTGTTTTTAAAAATCGGCTCAAATCAAGCCGTTTAACAACACTATAAACTAGCAAGACAGCCTGATGTGAGAATCAGAGGCATCGATGTAAACAGCATATAAGGTCTGGTCTGCTTACGAAGGGAAGGAACTTGCAACGCATTGATGATAGCTTTGACTTTGGTAGAGGCTAATTATGTTTCAACAATCGGAATTAATAATGCTTCACCCAATATAATGTAGTACCTTGAAAACAGTCTGGAATCCCCGTTATAGTGTAGGAAAAGTGATTTACTACTTCAACTGCTAATCCTTAAATGTTGATATGAGTGACACCGAAATACCTCCAGTAATTTGACGGATCTAATCCTGATAGGTTCATCAGCAGCGATCGTTTTGCGGTTCAAGTTTATGGAGACTCCTAAGTACATAATGTAAGGTGTAGGTCCTAAGGTAGACTTATTAATTAAAGGATACAGTATGAGATTATATATTTTGATATTAAATCAGTTTAACTCAAATATGAAAATGTAATTTAATAAAGAAGCATGAAATTAGTTATAAAAATATTTTAAATATTGTATTAAATTCGCAAGGTACTCAACCAGGCTGGAATCCGATTCTAGAAGTAAAGATTTTTCAAAATACGGCCTAGGGAATTATTTTCTTTGATTAAATTCTTTTTTAAATATTTCACCTGAGAAGTTTTGTTTATCGGAAATTATTTAAACGTGCGCCTGCTAGAGTTACTTTATTTATTTTTTTAAATAGAGAATCAAAAAATTTGCAATTGAGGAGATCCCTAGGTTTTAAAAAATAAATAACACTTGTATATATTAAATTTGAAACACCACATCAAATGCTGCGTCGAATTTTCTTTGCGCCCAATTGATCCTGCCGATTTTTCGGTGCGCCGAATTGACATTCGTTCAATTGTCGCTGCGCGAAGTTATGTCTATGCTCAGTTGATCACGCCAAATTGTCGATGCGGCTAAATGGCATACGCTTAATTGTCGCTGCATAGAATTGACACCCGCGAATATATGTGATACCCACTGTTCATTATTATAAACACATATAATATGGTCCTTTAAATATAAACACGATATCCTCTAAATAATTTAACAGATTTGAAAAACCAAAAATGGCCATTTTATATTTTTGGTATATTTTTTTGGCAAGTTGTTAATTTGTAAGCCATATATTTTTTTAACAAAAATGTACTTGTCCAATATGATAAATTGCATAATTTTACCTAAACTAAACACTCTATCGCTAGATTTGGACTAAAGTTAGCCTATGGGATATCTTAGGATAGGATTATATTTATTTATTGATTAATATCATCTAAATAGCCTATAAACGCGTGATATGAGTTAGGGTTTATATTTTATTTAAACAGAAATAGAACTAATATAAATAAATATTTGTTTAAATTGGACAAGTACATTAAATTAGATTTTCTTTTTTTTTAAATGCAACTCACAAACTACCTAGTAGAAATATTGTTGATCTTTATTTCTATATTAATGAAATAAATATATATATTAGGAAGGTATGGAAAATTTGGGAAGAGAAATCTCCAAACTATTACAGGAAAACAAGGCTCTCAAAATTTCATAGGACAATATTATCAACATAATTTACAAAACACATATTTTTGAAGAAAATTGTATATCAATAAATTAATATAAATATTATAATATATATCAAATATGTGACTAATTTTTTGGAAAAAAAACTACATCTACATTCATGCAAATACTATTATAAAACATAGACATAATCTACCTTAAAATTTTAATATTTATTATTATACTACTGCTTTTAACCAAAACTAAATGTTCATATCGTTTTAGTAAATATAAATTATATTCAATATTTTAAAGATCAAGTTTTTTTTACACTTTATTAAATAAAAGCAAATTGTATAAAAATATTAATTATCGGATTTTATAATTTTAAAACCCAATAGCATCTATTATTATTTTATTATATTTATTTGCTTGAGCATGAATTCATTTTTTGATTTTAATGATTATTATTTATAATAATGAGTAAAGTATATTTATTATCGAATGCAAAAATAAATAAAATGGTTTCGTAAATTTTGTTCTTGATATCAACAATAGAGTTGCTCTATGGAAAATACCCAGGGAAATTATATTACTCATTGATACTCTGAGTTCAGACTAACTCGGCGATGGTGGAAAATGTTATACGCTTAAAAGAAGCTTCATGAGTTCTTGTAACCAAGGCATTTTTAATAGTTAAGGGTTTGAAAGTAAAATTGAAGATATTTATAATTAGTTTTATATCAGACGATTGGTATACCATAGGCGCATAGTGATGCAAAATCGCTCCACTCAAACCAGCTCAGCCTTGTGGAGCGCCAACCTTGGAGCGCGAGCCAAAAAAATAGGCATAGCCTTGGAGCTCTAGCCTAAAATATTGGCTTAGCTTTGAACTCAAAATCTGTGTATTATCACTCAAAATTGGAACTTAATAAATAATTATACTTTTATGACTATTGAAAAATAAGGATGGGTATAGTGTTGCTTTTTAAAAAAAAATTCTATGGGAAATACCGACCCTATAAACATAATTTTATGTTTTTATAAATTTGTTCTATTTTTCTGTTTTCTTTTAAATTTCTATGAAAAATACCTACCCTTATAAACATAGTTTCGTAATTTTTTTTAAATAATTTAAAAAGTCGTCGGGTTATAGCTTCCATATCATATTAGCTAATTTGGAATTGTTATAAATTTTAAAATGATAAAAACAATCACCATTAAAAAAAGTGCTTACGTTGGCATATTCAAACATTGATAATTTTAAGTTGAAATGGGTGAAATAAAATAAAATTACCATCCCCAAATTACAGTGAAATGAGTGTCATACAATAAAGAGGATAAATATAGTAAGATTTTATTTTAAATTACACATTGAAATTAATTTCCGGGACAAATAAAAAAAAAATTCGTTAGGGATCGGGTCGATATTTATTAAGTTCCAATTTTGAGACATAATTTAAGAATTCGAGTTCAAGACTGAGCCGATTTTTTGGCTTGCGCTTCAGGTTGATCCGATTTTTTCGGCTCGCGCGCCAAGGTTGAGTTAATTTTTTCGGCTTGAGATCCAAGGTTGAGCCGATTTTTTTTGGCTCGCGCACCAAAGCAGAGCCGATTTTTTTCGGCTATAAACTCGGTTAAGTCGTTTTGGAGCCAGCTTGAATGGAGCGATTTTGCATCACTAAGTGCGGCTAAGGAGTGCCAGGAAATTCTCCACCTAGTGTAAAAATAATTGCACAAATTTCTCGTTTTTTAAAATTTCCTATAAATTTTAAATTTTTTCCACTCTTAATATAGTACTAAACAAAACTTAATAATGAAATTTATATTATCATTAGGTTTAATTTCATGACCAAAAAATGAGCCATTTTTTTAAAAAAATATTAGTTTAAGGTTCGATGAATTTAAATTGTTTTCTCATTTTTAAGCCAGGTACGGATTTTTAAAAATTGATTTGGCCTGATTAAGTGTAAAACAAGGCATGATATTAAATCAATAAAATCTCGCTATAAAAAGTTTATTTTTTCCATTTTTATAATTTTTTTAAAGTCACGGGTCATTTTCCGTTACACATACAGGGTTGCCAGGTCTCCCCCCATCAGCGGGAGACTCCCGCAGTTTTTTAGTTTACACGCAGGCATCTCACTCCCGCAAAATTACTGCAATTTTTATATTTCTCCCGCACAATTTTTTATTTTTAACGTTTTTATAATATATAAATAATAATTTTGAGAAACAGTAATTGATTATTTTTATATTTTTAAAATAAATTTTAAATATTTATTCAAAAAACATGTCAAGTTTGTAAATTTCTTTCTATCCTTACCTTAATCATATGTTTTATTTTTACCCATTAATAATTCAATTATTCATTCATATCTTATCATTTATCACGTTTAAATACATAATAAGGTAATATTGCTCTTATTGATAATTATTTTATTTATTATAGTTCAATCACAATATCATTATAATCAGTGCAGGGGATTGTATCTATATCTATTGCAATACAAAAATATACTCCAAAAATAAGAAATAATACAGATATAACTACAGTTGCGGTAATGGTATTCATCATAGTTCAACATTCACAGAGTTGCTTATCATCACAATATGGGTTGAATCTTTTCCCCATACGACTCCAAGATAAGTGAAAACTTTACTTGTGGTAGAACAAAAATGAGCAAGGCTATCACCAATGTTCCTGAATCCAGGAGGTCAATTCTTGACAATTTGAAAGATAGACATCCATATGAATACAGATGCATCTAATAAGGGAAATATCAAAACATTTTTCTTGTGATCCTCCGCTATTTCAACAAAAATAAGAGCGTTTCAATAAAACTATTAAAAAAATTTCCTCAGATAGTGAAAAATCCAAAGACATAGCAAACCATATAGTGTTACATATAGCAGAGTCGGGATTATCAATGAGTTGCATGTCAGCCTTCTGCGCTGATATGCCTCAGTGAATTTTGGCAAAAACAAGTGTATTTACATAATTGAGGCAGCACAATGTTGACTTAATACTAATTGGTTGTATATGACATATACTATATAATTCTTGCAAGAAGGCAATGAATGTATTATCTGTGAATAGTGTTGTTAATCGGCTTAGCCGAGTCGGCTCGAACAGAGCTCACCCAAATTTTGGGTCGTTTTTTTCGACTCCAACTCAAAGTTTTGGTCGTTTTTTACGACTTCGACCCGAGTTCAAGCCGAAAAAAACGACTTCGACCCAAACAAAATATGGGTCGTTTTTTTCGACTCCGACCCAAGTCCAAGCCGAAAAAAACGACCTCGACCCAAAATATGGGTCGTTTTTTACGACTCCGACTCAAAATTTGGGTTGTATTTTTCGACTTAAACTTGAAATTTGGGTCGTATTTTTCGACTCAAACTTGAAGTTTGGTCATATTTTTCGATTCAAACTTGAAGTTTAGATCGTATTTTTCGACTCCAACTCAAAGTTTGGGTCGTTTTTCTGACTCAGACTCAAACATCGGGTCGTTTTATTCAATCCGACCCAAAATATGGATCTTTTTTTTTTAAGACGACTTAAAGTTAGGGTTGCTTTTTTTCACCCCTAACCCAATATCTAGATCATTTTTTTCGACCAAAAGCCAAATAACATTTAGTATATATTAATATTATAGGCGGGAAAGTTACTTAAAGCTTCTTTAAATTATAATATTCATCATAGTTATATTTTAAAATTTTTAAGTGAAGATGTACCATAGAAAAGTGTCATTTGTCATGATGGTTATTTTTGAACTTTTTTAAATGAAATAGATAAAAATATATATTGTATAATTGTAGACATGTTAAATCAAAATTTCAGTGATGATGTACCATAGATAAGTGGTAATTGTCATAATCGCTATTTTTGAACTTTTTTGAGTTTTTTTAAAGCAAATTGCTAAAAATATATATTCTAAACATGTTAAATTAAAAATTCAGTGAGGATGTATCATAGATAGGTGACAATTGTCATAATCGCTATTTTTGAACTTTTTCAAATTTTTTTAAAGGAAATATCGAAAAATATATATTCTAAACATGTTAAATTAAAAATTCAGTGAGGATGTATCATAGATAGATGACAATTGTCATAATCGCTATTTTTGAACTTTTTCAAATTTTTTTAAAGGAAATATCGAAAAATATATATTCTAAACATGTTAAATTAAAAATTCAGTGAGGATGTATCATAGATAGATGACAATTGTCATAATCGCTATTTTTGAACTTTTTCAAATTTTTTAAAGTAAATAGCTAAAAATATATATTCTAAACATGTTAAATTAAAAATTCAGTGAGGATGTATCATAGATAGGTGACAATTGTCATAATCGCTATTTTTGAACTTTTCAAATTTTTATTTCTAAATTTTTTAAAGGAAATATCTAAAAATATATATTCTAAACATGTTAAATTAAAAATTCAGTGAGGATGTATCATAGATAGGTGACAATTGTCATAATCGCTATTTTTGAACTTTTTCAATTTTTTTTAAAGGAAATGGCTAAAAATATATATTCTAAACATGTTAAATTAAAAATTCAGTGAGGATGTATCATAGATAGGTGACAATTGTCATAATCGCTATTTTTGAACTTTTTCAATTTTTTTTTAAAGGAAATATCTAAAAATATATATTCTAAACATGTTAAATTAAAAATTCAGTGAGGATGTATCATAGATAGGTGACAATTGTCATAATCGCTATTTTTGAACTTTTTCAAATTTTTTTAAAGGAAATTGCTAAAATTATATATTCTAAACATGTTAAATTAAAAATTCAGTGAGGATGTATCATAGATAGGTGACAATTGTCATAATCGCTATTTTTAAACTTTTTCAAATTTTTTTAAAGGAAATATCTAAAAATATATATTCTAAACATGTTAGATTAAAAATCAGTGAGGATGTATCATAGATAGTGACAATTATCATAATCATTTATTGTCATAATCGTATTTTTAACTTTTTAATTTTTTTAAAGGAAATAGCTAAAAATATATATTCTAAACATGTTAAATTAAAAATTCAGTGAGGATGTATCATATTTAGGTGACAATTGTCATAATCGCTATTTTTATTTTTAGATATTTCCTTTAAAAAAATTTGAAAAAATTCAAAAATAGCGATTATGACAATTGTCACCTATCTAAGATACATCCTCACTGAATTTTTAATTTAACATGTTTAGAATATATATTTTTAGATATTTCCTTTGAAAAAATTTGAAAAAGTTCAAAAATAGCGATTATGACAATTGTCACCTATCTATGATACATCCTCACTAAATTTTTAATTTAACATGTTTAGAATACATATTTTTAGCTATTTCCTTTAAAAAAATTTGAAAAAGTTCAAAAATAGCGATTATGACAATTGTCACCTATCTATGATACATCCTCACTGAATTTTTAATTTAACATGTTTAGTATATATATTTTTAGCTATTTC